TGAGCCCAGTTATGTGAAGGGCTGCCTCTCATAAGATCTCAGAGGCTCTAGGCCAGCCAGGCTTGAGGTGATGGCATTATGGTAGGACCCAGGGGGACCCCTCTGGAGTAGGGAGGTCAGCAGTTGCCAGGCTGACTTTCTGAACCCTCAACTGGTCGCTGCAAGGTGGCCAGGACTGAAAGGCTGAAGGGCAATTGAGCCTACCACACGGGACAGGCCAGAGCTGCGTAGAGCTATCGGACACCCTGACTGGCCTGGAGGCAAGGCCAGAGCCTAGAAGAGGCTGAAGTTACCCTCTTTGGGAGGTATCATCACAGCCAAAAAAGGGGTAGGGGTCAGCCAACATGCAGGCTGCTATGAAGGAGGCTGAAGCTCAGCCTCTGGATGGGAGGCATACTTGACTCGGAAACCTCTTGAGCGAGTTGGGCCAGTGGCTGACTATAAGTGTTGAGATGGAAGCTGCGACAGAGTGCCCAGGAATGAATAGCTCAGTAGGGAGAAGGACTGGGGCAGGTAGGCCTGTGCTAGTCCTAGGGAATGACCTAAAACTACACCCTGCTGGGAAGGATGGTGTGGTGGGGCTGCTGGTGGCAGGGCAGCCCTCAGGAAGTGCCACACCAGTGCCTCTGTAGCAAACAGCAAAAATGTGGTACTGGAAAGCCTTAGCCCTGGCTGCCTTGTGGGTGACCCTGTGGAAGGGAAAGGCTAGGGCAACAACATGGAGGCCCAGAAGGCCTGTTGTCCAAGGCCTTTAGAGAAAGACTTGGGCAACAGTGCAGGGGCCAGAAGGATCTGAGGCCTAAATGAGAGTGAGCGGCCCGAGGGAGAGTGTTGACAAACACCTGAGGCCTGAGCAGGCCGTAGGCCAAGAGTGGGGTCCAGGCATGTCAACAGACACCTGAGGCCCATGGGGCATAGGGCCCCATAGCCCCAGGGAGGGGGTGGAGTAGTGACCCCAGTAAAGGGGTAGAGTGAGATGGACTAGAAGCCTAATGAGAAGCAGGAAGCTCCAGTGAGGGGGCATGGGAAGAAGCCCAAGTGAGGAGACATGTGACCAAGGTAAGTCTCCAGATGCCTGAGGCCAAATTTGAGCCAGAGTCCGAGTATGGCCCAGCAATGGGGCTGGAGGAGTTACAGTGGATAGTTTGGACCAGTGGCTTAGTGTGGCCCAGCAATAGGGCTGGGGGAGTTGGAAGTGATTTGGATGCCATCTGCAAGGCATGGGACACAGTCAAGGGAAGGTTAGAGCCATGTATAATGCCCTAGGCACCAGGGCATTAAATGAGCAGCCTCCTGCATTTTTACATCCAGTTTTAATATATCATAGCATGGTGGGTGAATCAGGGAGGACTGCCCTAGACAGATGGGCAGGCTGATACTGCATCTGGCTCTAGGATGGCTCCGTCACACTGAGTCAATCAAGTTGCATGACTTCTTAAAAGGTGCCTAGTCCTCTAGCTTTTTATGAGCAGCTGCTTAAATTGGAAGTGTACTAGCTGTCTTCAAGATTTTCTCCAAGGTCACTGGAGAACCAGATCTGAATTACCAAGCAGCTGCTCCATTAGTATTAACATTAAATGAATTTGCAATAGCTCTTCTCTGGAGAGTCAGTGGTGCAGTCCATGGTCAACATGAGGCAGCTAGCTGAGAAATCACAGTCAAGTTTTGGTGAAACTGGCTCTGGGTTTGCTTGTGGGAAGGGTTATTCAAGTCTTCACATTCATCAGAGACTGTGACACTTTTCTGTGTTGGATATTGCAACTTAAACTTGCAGGTTTCTTGCTTTGGTCAACTATCATGAACAGGAATGGGTGAAGCGGTACAGAAAAACAGCCATCTGTAGTAATTCACCATTCCTAGAACCAAGGTAAGCTTTGTATATATTACATGCCACTAACTTCCCACCAGCCCTTGGCTTCTAGCTCATAGGAAACCTAAAAAGCCATTCTCTCCTTAAAGTAATTTTAAAACTGAAGCAAACACCATCAAACAGCACTCATCAGTTCAGCAAGAACAAGTCTGGAAACCTCCCTCCTAGGATTAAGCCATCTTCAATTTAGTCCTTACAATGCTCCTCATGATCCATAATTGAGTTTCAAAGTATTTTGCATGTTCTTGAGTCTTCAGAGATGAGAGATGTATTCAGCCTAGAGCTTCAGTGCAAACCAATGCCTCTGGAAGCAACTGAAGGAGTAGTATGCAAAAATAGTAGCACTCTGCAGGAAACGCTACTCTCCATATCCCTTTCATCCTCTTGACAGGGCTTTCTCCTTTGCTTGAAGTTGGAGTTACTAAACTCCCCATGCTGCCAGGATGCTGAGAACAGTCTTGTTCCCTCACCTCTTCTTTTGACTGGCAGAGAAGAGTAGGAAGAAGCAGGTGAGCAGACACGAGTGGGGAACAAATGAACCAGTTCAACAGACTGGTTTCACTGCTTTTAATTAGCACACAGCATCCTTCTCTGCTCCCCTCCGGACCTGCTTTCCAACCCAAAAGAGTCAGTAGCAGAGGCCAGATGCTGATCTTTTAACTCGGAGAACTGCAGAGAAGTAGGGAAGAAATGGATGCATCTTCTTTCCACCCTAGGTCAGAAAGCTTTGCTCTTTGGCTGCTACTACAGCCTTCATGTGGTATGGGCAGCAGGTGCACTTTAAACATGGTGGGAGCATTGAAACTGGCAACAGATTCATGGTCATTGGCACATTGCCTTCTGGTCTCATCTCAGAGAAGGCTGTGTTTAAGCACCATTTGCTGAGCGTCTAGACTCTAGCTATTCCTTGCACAATATTCCTTAAAAAGCAGAAACAACAGTTCAGTTCTGCACACAGGGCTTCCCAGCAACAGTGGGAAGGCAGGAGTTTGTCCTGCAGAAAATGGTGTGTGCTACCCTGTCTGGTTTAACATGCATCTGATTATATTATGTCCAAACATTAACAGCTATGTGAAACTTGAAATTAAAAAAGGTGACCAGCTCCCTTCTAAATAATATATGCAGTTATGTAACTAAGATCATTCATAGCTTCCTAAATCCTACACTGAAGTAACTATTTCACAATAAGATTTATTCAGTCATACACTTTGAGATCAGAAGGAGTTATACAGTCTGATAACATAGCCTGATTTGTAGTATGCCACGATTCCAGCAGCAATCCCTGTATCAAGCCCATACCTTCTGTTTAAGCTCTAACATGCACCACAAGGCCAACCAGCCTTGGATTTAAAAACCTCAAACTATGAAAAATCCACCTCCCTTCTAGGCAGGTTGTTTCCATTGTTAACTGGCCTCACTGTTAAATTCAGATTAGATAAAAGGAGCAGAATTTTATCAGCTCCACTTGCCTACCCTATATAAAAGCACCTTCACTTCAATTAACTTAGAACAGGTTTTTATGGGACAGAATAACTTCGGCAAGCTTTCCCCTTTAGCTTGCTCACCATGCTATTTCTATAGGCACCTGCTTTGACAACCTAGCAGAGGTGCTAAAAAAGTAGACCCAAACAATCTACTTACCTGCCCTTAAACATAACAAAACAATTAGCAAGTTTTTTAGGCTCTCTGGTCAAGCAAAAGCTCGTAAGTCTGTGCAGTTCAGAAAGCCCTGCCAGTGTAACTGAGCCATCACTGTTGCCGTTCATGGGAGAACAATCTTATGCAAGGGGATGTCACCCTCATGAGAGGCTATGCTAGGAGGCAGCAAGCCAGACTAACTCCCACCCTCTGCCCAGAAAGTGATGCAGCTTCTACCATATCCCACCCAGGCCAGGCCAGGCCTGTGGCCAGGAAGCTATACTGTGATCTAGAGTAGAGTTAGGATTTATTCATGTCCATTCCTACCTACACTGTTTCTTGCCGATTAATCTACATTTAGAAAAAATCCAGCACTGCTTTAGATTTTGCCAACCAAATATAAATAGAAGCTTGTGTGTAAGGTATAGGGTAATAAATTAAGATAAGCAACACTGATTTTACTAAGGTTAGTAAATGTGCAACTCATGAAGCCATGTATTTGTACAGAAAAGACTGCATCACAGATACGATACAATTCTAGTATCATAAACTTCCTAATGGAGTAGTCCATGCCAGAAACAGATCAAGATTAGTTAAACTAGATCTTCAGATGATTTCCTTTTTCAATGATGCCAGCAAATGAAAATGTACCAAGTAACAAATTAATTATTAGTATTAAGTTACAGGTTAATACAGGGTAATACTCGATATCATTCAAAGGGGAAAACAAACCTTGTAGTTCAAACTTCTGACAAACCTACAGTCTGTCTACAGCCCATGTAACAAGTGATCTTGGGCTGGTTACAAAACTGCTTGAGGTTAAGAGTGGTTTCAGAACACACAAAGGGATCTTAAAATATTCTTGAAGACCATTAAGGCTACTAAAAATTATCAGTAAAAAAAAGCCACTAAAATATAAGTAACAGGGACTCTATACAGTTTCTATGGGAAGGCAACAAAAAACTGAAGATGTTGAAACGAATACCTGTGTCTATACTGAATTGTATATGGTTTGGGTAACAAATTTTCCCTCACTGAACAGGAAACCCACACTTAATCCAGAATTTACAACATTTCTTGTAGACAATCTTGCACAATAACCACACATTTACGCTAACTTTTTAATATAAATATTAAAAAGTTTTAATATTTACATGTCTATGATGTAAATATTTAGAACAGTCTATTTTACAATGGGTAATTTAATTAGATAGTTTACTTCACCGATTCCATTTTAGGTGTTTGGCTAGAAGAGGACCTCAAAATAGCACGCATATACTACTGGTGGCCCATGGACATGTAACTGATGACAGGGATAGCTTCTCCTTATATCCATCTACAGTTTATTCTTTATTGCTATAAGGGGCTCTCTAGAGAAATTATTGCTACATCCTATTTTTCTTAGTAAAGGCTTAATCCTACAGTCCCAATTCAGGCAAAACTTCTCCCTCTTGTGCCCTATTCTAGTTCTCGTCCTCTTTTCTCTGGCAGTTGGCTAGCTTCAGCATTGCTGTGAAGGGCCCTTTATTTTGAACACTAGCTCTGCCAGCTGTCTTGGATAAGACTCCAGTTGGCTTATAAGGTGGTTTGGCACATTTCAGGACTGCTGGACTGGGGTTTCTGAATGACCATAGATAATGGATTCAAAATAATTGAAGCAGTCCTAAGAAGTTTGTTACCCAGGTACATTGCAGGCAGGGAGAACATAAGGGGAACTAGTCACTGAGCTTGAAATGATTTTGACCATTTGACAGTCATCAAGTAACCATAATAATGGTTGAACTTCTTTGTTTACCTCCAGGCTTTTAAATAGACTAAAGAAAACCATATCAAATGGTCATGCAAAATCCATGCAAAGCACAATAGTGCTCAAGAAATTCCAACTTCCAGAAAACAGTATTAAAATTTCTGGAGATTGGGCTTATGTTCACTTGGGTCAGAAAAGCCAAGCGCTGTTTTGATAAATGAATGTGCAAAGCATCATTATTAGTTAAGGACTTGGAATTCTTTAAAAGGCCTTCAAATTTTAGATGCAAGACACTTCAACTGCATTCCTGTTTTTAGTCTTACTGGGTCTCTCACAACTTTTGAGTACATGCCCAGGACATCTGCGAATCAAGACTAAGTTGCACAGCACAACTAATTAAGACAAAGCACACAAGTTGGATTATTGCTTGTATGCTAGCATTAAGTCAGTATACAACAATGTTTTCCTGCTCGGGATTTGGGTTTCTTTGGGGGACTATCTGGAGAGTCAGCTTTGGCATATGGCTCGTTAATATTTTTGTGCACACCTGATGAATGAAAAGGGGTCTCCAAGCTGCTTGTAACCCGAGTTCTATCTTGATCTTCCACCTCATCACTATTATAATGATAGGCATATTTGGGGGAACTGGCAGGCCTGTGGGACTTCGGAAGGCGGGGATTGGTAGGCTGGGAAGGTAGGGCATGTTGTCCTCTACGTCTGCACTCCTCAGCAAATGCTTCTTCATCTGCAACACCTGAAAAAGCAGACAATTCAAAAGAAAAAAAGTGAGCAGGACACAAAATGCTTTTGTTTAATCTGCAACAACTGGAGCCTGGGCTGGAAGTTGGGAACCACCAAGTTACAGCCCCTAATAGTAGCAGGTTTTTTTGTTTATATCCATTACCTTAAACAAATCACTTAAAAATTGTGCCTCAGTTTCTCCATTTGTAAGCCCATTAAACTACCAACCAGACACGCATACTTCTGCCTTCACATGAGAGCTGGGAATAACACCAACTGTTAAAACACATGCACAGGCAGGTGCTTTTAGCAGCTTCTCACTACTCCATTGCAGCAGCTGAGCTGCAAAATCCTGAAGTGCATTCCTACTTGGCAGAAACGGAGTAGCTGTCAGCAGAAGAAAGGGTTCTGCCACCAGAGAGGTTTGAATGTCCACACGCACATCCCAGATTCGTCAGAACAGGAGTTCCACTAGCAGAAGTTTGCGTGTAGAAGAAAACTGAATCTATCCTGAATACAACTCTGCCAGATTCCACCATGATGGTAAAGCTACTGGTGCCCAGTTTCATCTTCCCAACGGGCAGAGTGAGAGGGCTCAGCTCTGCACAACTGATCAAGTATTTCCCAATTTCCCCAGCTGCTGCTGACAACCAGAGCAATGGTGAGATGGCTGAAGATTTCTTGCTGAAGTCACTTGCCAAAAAGTCACTCCTGCTGTAAGGGGGAAAATGCCTAGTGGCAAAAGGGAAAGTCCCTTGAAAGCTGAAGGAGGTTTGGAGATCATGAACATGGCTTTAAGGAGGCAAAGCAGAAACTGGAGAAGCCTAAAATGGGGCATGCTGGTGTGGGGGAGATTTAAAAGGAAACAGGTGAGGGGAGAAAGCAGGATTTGTAAGGCCAAAAAATGAAATATGCAGCACACAAGAGAAGAAGAGAGTGAAAAATCAAATTAAGTGTTGGGAAAAGTTGTATTAAACAGTACAATCTCTATGCACATTCAGAGAAATTGCCTAGCTGTAGCAATAGCAAGGTGCTAACGGGGAGAACACAGGTACCAAAACATGGCAAAGCGCACTGAAAGGGAAATAGTTTTAGGAAGAAGAAAACTTGAACAAGGGACAAGTAGGGGAGGAAGGCATAGGAGCCAATATCTAGATCAGGAAAGTAAAAAAGCAGCTACTCATTAGGAAAATGTTGAAGGAAAAGGAAGAGAAAGACAGGTCACAAAAGGTGCTTTTCAAAGAGTCTTATTAATGCAATTACTTAACCACTTTTAATTGAGCTCATGACACATGGCATCGTTTTATACACATCAAAAGTTGGTATGTCACACGTTGGAATTTTTTTCCACAGTGCATCGGGCATCAGCTGAGTTGGGATGGGTGTGTTACACTAGCTAATGTCTGGAAAGTCCCTTGAAGATAGAAGAGCACTACGCGTGCATGAAGTAGTGACAGAAGCAACAGAAGGCCAATTGTTATCCAGTTACCTAAGCAAGTCTCATGTGGTTTCAAGTCCTTTGATATTATCATACAAAGATTTTTACTTGTTGCTGGGTAGTAAGCATTTCCCTGAAGTCCCCAAAATGTGTTGTTTTACTGAGCAATTCCACACAGTCATGTAAAGTAACTAATAATCAAATACAAATGGCATACCTGTTTATCCTGCTTACATTTAAGTGAATTCAGCTTGAAAAGCAATTCTGACCACAGATCACTGGCAGGCACATTACAGAAGTGAAAGAAGCAGTGTACATGCTGCACTAAGATGTTATTAGGCCTATGCAACCTGCGTATGTTTTTTCAGTCCATTCCAAAAGCACAAGCAACAAGGGAGAAACAGGCAGAGGGCAAAAAAAGAAAAAATCCACGAAAAAAATATCAAAGACAATTTCTGCATTAGGTGCAACCTGCCTATGTGATAATTATATCGACTCTGAGAAAGCAATGGGTGCACTAAGCATTAGTATGCTGTCCACAGCAGAGAGCCTGCAGCATGGCTGCATCTGACAAACTCAATAACCTTGATCTGATGAGGAGAGCATGTTCAGCTGCTACTAATACCAAAGGCACCACAAGGAGGAGCTGAGCACACTGCAGGATTGGGACCAATGAACATCATTTAAATCTCAACTTGCTGCAAGTGACTCAAGTCCTTAAGGATTAAATATCCTCATTATCATTCAAGATGCTGTGAGCACAGAACAAATAGCACAAGGGGTGCTTATTACAGAACTAATTATACCAAGCCTATTATGAGCCCCCCTTTAAAATAGTAAGAACAAAAATCACTCAGGAAGGAAGTAAAGTGTGCCAATTAAGCAGTCATGGGAGGG